GAGGTTAGTTACTACCACCTCTCGTTGACAGAGGTTAGTTACTACCACCTCTCGTTGACAGAGGTTAGTTACTACCACCTCTCGTTGACAGAGGTTAGTTACTACCACCTCTCGTTGACAGAGGTTAGTTACGACCGCCTCTCGTTGACAGAGGTTAGTTACGACCGCCTCTCGTTGACAGAGGTTAGTTACGACCGCCTCTCGTTGACAGAGGTTAGTTACGACCGCCTCTCGTTGTCAGAGGTTAGTTACGACCGCCTCTCGTTGACAGAGGTTACTACCGCCTCTCGTTGACAGATGGCAGCATCGGTCAGTGGCTGACAGACTGAAGGAAACTGATAGATCGGTTTATTGATCTCAGAATGTTTCTTTTCTGCAGGAGGACTATGATCTGGGCTGAAGTTAGTTATTTCGCTGAATGGTGGAGCAACATCGATGACCAGAAGAGGGCGATGGTGAAAAGGTGAAAAAACAATGTCAGAACATTAAAAACAGCTGTTAACCTTGTTTTATTTAACTTATGTAAAAACCAAATAAAACCAACCTTCAGCTGCAATATTTGAAACTTTTTTTTGTTTACATTTTTTCTCTGCACATTAACCAATTTTTTTCTGCTTCCTGTTTGTTCAGACTGGTGAAGGCGGGGCAGCTGGAGTTGGTGACGGGCGGCTGGGTGATGGCGGATGAAGCTAACTCTCATTACTTCGCTATGTTGGATCAGCTGATGGAGGGCCACCAGTGGCTGCAGACTCACCTAGGTGCTAACCTGTCTACCTCACGTTTCACCTCATTGGCTCCGCCCACCTGCATCTCCAACATCCCATGCTTGTTTGCAGGAGTCAAGCCAAGCAGCGGCTGGGCCATAGATCCTTTTGGCCACTCCCCCTCCATGACCTACCTGCTGAAAGGGGCGGGGCTTAGCAACATGGTTGTGCAGAGGATACACTACGCTGTGAAGAAGCACTTCTCCCAGCAGCAGACTCTGGAGTTCATATGGCGACAGAGCTGGGGTGAGGTTTCAACAAACATATAATGAAAACATAATACTGAATGTGTTAAATCTATCAGCTAATGGTGCTTAAACTCCACCCACTTCCTGTGTTGCAGACTCCTCCTCCAGCAGTGACATCATGTGTCACATGATGCCGTTCTACAGCTACGACGTGCCACACACATGTGGGCCCAACCCGGCCGTCTGCTGCCAGTTTGACTTCCACCGCCTGCCGGGGGGGCGTGTCTTCTGTCCGTGGAAGATCCCGCCTCAGGAAATCACAGACCACAACATCAAGGAGAGGTGAACAAGGGGAGGGGCTTCTATCGTTATTATGACTTTCTTTGTAGTTGTGACAGAACCAGACTCTTATTTTGAAGAGTATGTATYAGCTTTACTTTGAAACTCAGGGTTCAGACCTCTTGTTTGTCAGAGTCCAGCCGACCTCTGACCCTTTAGACCAGGGGGGGTCAAACTCATTTTCACAGAGGGCCACATGAGCATCATGGTGGCCCTCGAAGGGCCAGTTGTAGTTAACTTTGACTAAACAGAGTTTTAACATGTTCTTTTTTAAACACTGATAAGAACTAAGTGTATGACTGACTTAATCTGAAATAAATACAGAAATATTATTAAAAGTAATAAAGTTTTACTCACTGAGTGAGTAGTTGGTATGCATTATGACAGGTGTAGTTTATGGTTGATGCTGACTTTAAACCAGCTTATTTTCAGATATTATTACTGAGCTATCMAACTAAACTGCTCTTAAAGCCAACAGCTCAGAGGGAGGACAGTTATTATCTTTCACCTTTTACATTTATTTTGTTGCATTGACCTCTGATATGTGACCTGTGACCTCTGACCTTCGACCTGTGACCTATGACCCACAGCAGACACACTGGGGGAAGAAGACAAGCCTTCCCTCTGAAGAGCAGCTTTAGATGTTCAGTATTAGTTGTGTGTATCAGAGGTTATGAGTGTTGGCGGTAAGAGTGTTGGCGTAAACGCAGTGGTGGGTCAGGGGGTCCTGATCAGTCTATGGGTCCTCAGAGCCCTGCTCCTGCTGGATCAGTACCGTCAGAAGTCCCGTCTCTTCCGCTCCTCGGTTCTTCTGGTTCCTCTCGGCGATGACTTTCGTTACGTTGAGTCCAAAGAGTGGGACGATCAGTTCAACAACTACCAGAAACTCTTCGACTACTTCAACCAGCACCCGGAGCTGCACATCAAGGTAGACCTGGGACACCTGGGAGGGGCGGAGCTCTGTTTCTGTCCATCTGGATGTAGGTGGATGAAGTCAGGTGTATCTGGCTGTAAATGCTCAGGTGTTCTGTTTCAGGCTCGTTTCGGGACTCTGGCTGATTATTTTGCTGCTCTTCATGGACGGCTGAGCTCCACAGGAACAGCTCTGCCCAAGCTGCGTGGAGACTTCTTCACGTACGCCGACCGAGACGACCACTACTGGAGCGGGTACTTCACGTCCCGACCCTTCTACAAGCGCCTGGATCGAACCCTGGAGTCCACTCTCAGGTCAGCTCAGGAGGCGTGTCCATACCTGTGGTCCCTGTACCTGTCTACATGTCTCCTCTGGTCCACAGAGCGGCTGAAATCCTCTTCAGCATCACGCTGGCAGAGATGCGTCGTTTCCGTGGCAGCGACCACCTTATCGAAGGATTTCCGGCACGTGAGCACTTCCAGCGTCTGACGGCGGGGAGGCGGAGCTTGGGGCTGTTCCAGCACCACGACGCTGTCGCCGGGACTGCCCGGGAACACGTGGTGATTGACTATGGAACCAGGTAGCTACTTCCTGTTAGCATGATGTTTAGCTGTGAAAGATCTATCGTGTTAGCCTGTTAAAGCTAAAGGCTAAAGAGAAATCCTTCAAACATTTAAGAACAAAAACAATCTTTTGTTTTACTGAGCTTGACTATTGACTACAATTCAGTTTGATACCAGTTAACAAAAACGTTATAAATAATAATATTAATAATAATAATAATGGGGGGCGCTGGTGAGCAAGATATGGCGTAAGACGTACTTTTCAGAGCTCCTGCAAAATCCGTGAAAATTACATTTAAAAAACAGCATTAACCACGCCAATATTTGTCGAATTATTGGAGAGAAAACCTTAAGATCACAACCGTCGGACAACCCGAACAAAATCATCCTGAATGGCTGAAAAACTGCAAAAGTATAAATATGGAAGCGATGCTAATGCTATA